GTATTCTCATAATATTTAGACTTTATTCTCATAATATTATGACTTTATTCTCATCATGTTTATACTTTATTCTCATAATATTACGACTTTATTCTCATAATATTACGAATGTATTCTCATAATATTTAGACTTTATTCTCATAATATTATGACTTTCTTCTCATCATGTTTATACTTTATTCTCATAATATTACGACTTTATTCTCATAATATTACGAATGTATTCTCATAATATTTAGACTTTATTCTCATAATATTATGACTTTCTTCTCATCATGTTTAGACTTTATTCTCATAATATTATGACTTTCTTCTCTTAATATTATGACTTTATTCTCATAATATTTAGACTTTATTCTCATAATATTATGACTTTCTTCTCATCATGTTTAGACTTTATTCTCATAATATTATGACTTTCTTCTCTTAATATTATGACTTTATTCTCATAATATTTAGACTTTATTCTCATAATATTATGACTTTCTTCTCATCATGTTTAGACTTTATTCTCATAATATTATGACTTTCTTCTCTTAATATTATGACTTTATTCTCATAATGTTTAGACTTTATTCTCATAATATTATGACTTTCTTCTCATCATGTTTAGACTTTATTCTCATAATATTATGACTTTCTTCTCTTAATATAATGACTTTATTCTCATAATATTACAATTTTATTCTCATAATATTATGACTTTATTCTCATAATATTATGACTTTATTCTCATAATATAATGACTTTATTCTCATAATATTACAATTTTATTCTCATAATATTATGACTTTATTCTCATAATATTATGACTTTATTCTCATAATATCATGACTTTATTTTCATATGTCTTTAATGTCGTAATATTATGCCTTTATTCACATTATTTAAATTAAAAAAACCTTGTGTGGCCCTAATACTCTGTTATACAATTTTTATCTTAAATAAAATAATTTATATTACTAATTTACGTATATGAACAGTAAGTAAGTTCTTGTTTAAATACAGTATTACATGAAACATGAATAGGATGATTCAGGCAATGTGCTGACTGTATTTTACTGAATATATTTGTGTATTTGATTGATTGATTGATTGATTTTATTTACATGTCAGGCACCTTCTGGTGCCCAGCCCTCATGGTCTTATAAGACACTCCACACATAAAAAACACACAACAGGATGGCAACATTCATGTCACAATACACACAAAAAGCATCGTCACAATCAGAAACTCATCCAGGACACAGAGCTGTCGTCTTTCCCAGGCTTTACAAACAAAAACAACAAATGCAAAAATGTACCTATTATAAATACAACTTAAAATATTTTCTCAGATAACCAAAACACATCTACATTATGTATTTATACATTCAAATAGATAAATCTTAACTCAGAATACAAAGGACAGTAGAGAATAAAATGATAATCATCTTGACTACATTGAGGTCACAAAGTGTCTCCTCTTCACTGCCAGGGGCAGGCTGTTCTGATCTGGGCACAAAGGGACGTTGTTTTCACCACAAATTTGATTTTACATAAAGTTCAGCACAAAACTCTTCCTTAAACTGAATTTACTTCTCAATTTTGGTTTTCTACAAATGTCCTGTTTCCATTGTTTTTTAAAGACGTTAAAACTTTTTAAAGTCATTTTTCAAAGTCATTAAGTGGATGTGGTGGAACTAATACTTTTATGTTTAAGCAAATAATTCACGACAACCTTTAATGACCTGGGTTTTCATGACATGCTGTTCATCTACAGACAGAATGATTAAAGTCAGAACAAGAT